CACACACACACACACACACACACACACACACACACGCCTCCACCCCCCTTTCATTCCATGTTCCCCTTTCTTTTCAAGCACAATGATATGGGACAAAAGTTGCGTTTTGCCGCTGTCACAACACACACTTAGGGTTCTCGTTAATAATAGGAATCAGGGGCGAAGGCTGACTTGTTTGACAGGGTAATCAAAATGAGATGGGACCAGATAGGGCCTGGAGATATCACACTCACACATGTCACAAGAATCTTACTGGCACTGGAGTGAGGCGGCAACTCTGAGTTGTGAATGAAAACAAATCCTGAATTCATGTTGTATGCATATATTCAACAGCTAAAATAATAGGGAAAGTATTTCATTAAATAGTTATTCTAACTAACCTTAAATTTAACTTTAGATTCGAACACACGAATACCAAGGAAAGAAGCAGAGATGTCAGTACTACAATGGCATTTTATACCAGACAGCCGAAACACTTTGGTAGAGCATGCCAATTATTAATTTTTTATTTCACATTTGGCTGTTTTTTGTCAAGCTTCTCATGGCCAGGAGCCGGTGTCATAATCGAGGTCAAGCACTCGCAGCGGTCAAGATATTATTAGGAGTTGATTCCCCTCACATCTGTGAGGTAGACTCGACCAGTGTAATAGTTAGCTTACATAATCAGCGAGTGTGGTTGCTTATAACTGTGGCTCGAAAGGGGTGAACAGGGTATGTGAGGCAATGAAACAGTTTTGACTGCTATGCACATGTTTCCTTCAACTCTATTGGTAGACTCTTCCAGCCTCACTTTAAGCTTACTTAATCAAAGCTTGTGATTGCTTATGGGGTGGCCCGATATGGGCGAGAAACGGTTTTGAAGGTTAGGCATAGTCTATTGCTCATTGGTGATAATGAACGTCTTTTTACATTTGATTTATGAGGTGTACGTCTATGGGTGAATTTGACTGCGACAATGTTTCAAAATTAGGAAGGGAAGCAGTGCTTATTTGATTATATAGATGCTTCGCCTCTGTTAGGAATTAATCAACCCCCCCCCCAAACTACAACATTTTAAATGATATGATTAACTGGAAAATCAACCAAATGTGACGTATTCTTTTACTGCTGAAATGATCTAAAAAATCTATCCATTTTGGTTTTTCCTCGTTCCCCCAGCTGTTCGTATAAGCTTTTCTAAATATAGAGACAGTTGCTTCCACCTGGGGACTTAATTCCCGCGTCAAAACCCGGTCCACCTAAAAGTCTGCTTTTATCGTGTTACATAATTTTCTGTTTATGATTTGCTTGTATAAGAACCTGTTAAAATAAAGCTGCTTTAGAACCCGTTCGATATGAAGGCAATAGGGCCTACATTTTTCTTACCTGCTTTTCCATATCTTGAGCGTGCAAAGAGGACCTCTTCAAAACCGGATCAGTAGCCTCTTAACTCAATCTGTCTGAGTACGCCACAGGTGGTGTACGCGGAGAAGAAAAAGAATTGACCCCCCCCCCCCCATGCACCCTGTCCCCACTTGTTTAAAGCGCACCGAGTCCACAATAGACGCTGCCAGTAGAAGAAGCGACGTGATGTCGTAACTGACGTAACTGATAATGTGCAGTCAGTTGTTAATGAATGAGAAACAGATGAAAAGAGGGTTGGGGTGTTGGGTTGGGTTTTAGTCAAGGACCTTAGAATAACCTATTTTTGTTATAGGCCTCCTCCTTGTTAAGTGTAGCTTAGTGGACGACGAAATCTTTAGAACGCACATGCTCAACACAGAGCATTTCTCTTGTCATGCCGAACAGTGCAATCGTTTACTTGTTTTTGACGGGTAAAATCACGTTCTTCCCTCTCGTGGTTAGGTGACCGATTGTCTTATTAAAAGCGGACATGTTCTCGACTGTTTTTTCCTTTAACTCACGAAGCATTTCGATTAATGCTATTTTATATCAATTATATGGCCAATGCTATCAAATGAATGATAGATCTAATGCCACGGCTGTACTGTCGCGTCATATTCACCATGAAGACGCCTTGGTTCTTATACTTGCACCCAATACAACGCACACCTCTAAGAAATACCATATATGTATATATTACGTCACGTTTTTTAAAATATTACATATTTATTATATATTAATGGAGAGAGAGAGAGGGATGTGATTTAAAATATATATAATAATCTTTTTAAAGGAAATCGATCTCGATCTCTATCTTCCTTCGGGTGTCAGTATCACCTATGGGTCAACATTTCACCATAGAAGAAACAATAGACAAAGGAATCCAGCAAGTAGTAGCTGAGCTGTACTCCTCAGAATCTGCCTACGAACTCAGTCCGCCTAGAAACCCACTTTTTGTCTGTCGATGACCGTGTTCTTAGATGGAGACCATTTTAATTCTCCGACAATATTCTGCAAGCAGGGTGTTTCAAAATCTTTACACCGGCAAGTAACAACAGGGAAATGGGAAGTAACTCTCGTTCACTAGGCCAAATCTATAAAATTATTATTGTGAGCAATAGATCTACACTGTTTGACGTTTCCGCCCGGTATTATTCTCGATAAGGAGGGGCAAACAAATCGTTGGCAACAAGCTCAGAGGTAAGATGATATTGGCGAAGTGAGCCGCTGATTCCTGGGTAGATCTAGATCTAGATCTAGATTTAGATCTAGATTCTTTTGTTCTTAAAGTGAAACGAAGACTATGGATCTAGATTTTAAGATTAAAATTATAATAAGATAAATCTGCAGCCACTGCCACTCTGAAACTGAATTTGCCTTGTTTGTAAACGCGAAGATTGTGTGTAATTTAAAAAATTATTATTTTTTCCAGGGAGGCCCCCCCCCCCCCCTCCCCTGAAACCACCCATTAACACTGACAGGGGCAGGGGGGCTAGCCCCCTGATACGCCCCACTATCAGGAGGGCAAGCCCCTCTGAAACACATGCGATTAAACGTAGAAAGACACAAACTATTTTTACCCTCTTTTAGGAAATTAGATAAGGCGCCCATCTTGTTTGACGTCAGACCAGGATATCCCTCAGATCACGTGACTAAGTATAGCCAACTGCATGGCACCAAAGATGGAAGTGTCTATATGTATATATGATGCTTAATCTACACCTTTCTCTCGAAAGTTCTGATGGCTGAGTAGACAGCGCGTCTGCGTTTGAAGTTGTGCAATGATTTCTGGAGCGGTTTGATCCCGGTCCAGGACAGTTTTTTTTTTCTCTTCTCCTCCTCCCGACTGACCAACAGTCCCTTAAATTATAGGCCTAAATTGGGTATTTTTTAACTTTCCCTTTCGTCTCACACTTGGCTACCAGTTGTCCATTTTTTACTAAATATTGATGCGCTGAACACGAATATCAACTTCTTTTCCGTCGTAAATTAATAGTTTTTGAAATAATTGATTATTCTTATCGAGATAAACGTGCTTTGGACCAATTGGGGGGGGGGGGGCATGATGCCCCCTGTTTTAACCCATTATTTGATCTTTTACAGTTAGATTCGAAGTTTTCCTGAAAATAACTGATTTGCGACAGTTTTAGTGGCTTTATGTGCGATCTGCAGCAAACAGTACAGCAGTTTGACCCCTGAAGCAGTGCTTCTGTGTGCGGGAGTGAAAGTTAAAATTTACCCTAATTTGTAGAGCTGCGTTGAAGTTGTTGTTTTAAAAAAAAATACTAGTGATTAAAAATGCAGGAGGGGGGGGGGGGTTTGCTAGATCTAAATTTAGATCTAATCCTCCTGCGTCTTTACGGCAATTTTCGTGCAGTTTATAGTGTCTTTATGTTTACCGTGTTTCTATTTCAAGCATCAGCGTTCTTAACTCTTTGACTACCAAGGCGTTTTCCAAGCTGTGACCAAGGCATTTCTTAGTCTTAGAATTTCAGAAATACCCCTGTTCTTCTTTTGTGTCTGGTGGGCGTAATTCCATCTGGAAGTCAGACATGTACCAAAATGAAGGGAATTGAATGTAGAATATTTTTAATCTAATAAAAAAATTGAAAAAAATCATAAATCCAAACAAACATGGGAGGTAAGTGAACACAAGATGAAAAAAATATAAAAAATAACAAAATATTTCCAACTTACATTTCTCACAGTGTATAGCTGCTAAATCCAATCACTTCATGACTTAATCATACTGAAGTATATTCAATTGTCTCAAACTGGGCCAAGTTTCATGCACAATGGTCAAGTATATACAAAGTTGGCGCACTTTTGGTGATATCACTCACAATGAAAATAAGAGAAAAAAACGCTGCACACACGCCCCTCTTTGCAAATCTTCAATCTCATCGCAGTCGCTGCTGTCCGACTCATGTCTAACTTCATCACCTCCTACATCACTATCGGAAAGTACTGACAGTTCTCCATCAAACTTTTCCAGGGCTTTTGAAGCAGAAAAACATTGTGACGGGGGGGAACCTGATGGGTTATCAGCCATTTTTCCATTGCTATGCGTGTAAATTAATTCGAGCAACACAGGGCGGGTAAAAAACCCAAGAAAAAATGCCAAAAAAACAGCAGAATAAAACACAAAAGGCGCTAAATTCCTTCACTGGTTGACTGATGTATGGTAAGCACAGCAGTTAAAAACATGAAACGAAAAGGTTGAGTCAAATTGTGGAAGGGAAAGGGAAAGAAAAGCGCGAGCCGATAATTCGGCTCTTGACCACGAACTAGGAGGTTATGGAGTCGATAGATCGGCCCATGGTAGTCAAAGAGTTAATCTTACTCAGTAAGTTACTCTTCTGAGCATCAACGATCTAAATCTAGGAATTCCGAAATGTTACCGAAAACACGTCATTCCATGGGTATCCCAGGAAGTGATGACATCACAGTACTAAAATTAGCAGCCAATCAGAAAGATGCGTCTTTTCTATGTTTAACGGCATGTCCCCTGAACCCCCCCCCCCCCCCCCCCCCCCCACACACACACACACTTTTATGGCTGGGGCGCATTAATACACATGTAAACATGGTGGGTCCACCAAAGTTCAATCTGGCCCCAAAAAAATTTTCCTACAAAAAAGGCAGAAAAATATTACTGACTAACAGTGAGTAGTGTTCACTTAGCCTGCAATATATGGCCACTTTTGTGACATTTTGTCCTTAGCTATCACTTCTTTTTTTATGTAAACAAACGGGAAGGCAATCTCCAAAGAGCCCCGATTAAATCAAGTTACTGATTGATAATTGAATTGATTGTAGATCTAGATCTAGGTCTAATTGAAATTGTAACTTTTAATATGAAGAAATGGGAAGCTAGATAAATGTAAGTCTCGAGATTCTTCCTCTTACCAAGTCTTACTCTTTTAAAGGCTAGGAGGCAGGGATTAAGTGTAGGTTCTAGACTCTTATCCAACGTGAAAAGGTGAACCCTGCAACAGATTAGTGCCAAGACTTTAGACTAAAAAGTTGAGTAAAAGGGTAGACTCCCCTCTATAATAACAAACAATGTTAACACTTTGCAGTCATTCAGCCATTAGTACAAGATTGAAGATACCCCATCTGGTCACCCAGCCAGGAGAGTGACTGCAACAGACTTCTCGGGCTTGGCGTCAGGTCACGGGAACGGATATTTTCAACGGCGTTATATTGCACTAAGTGACCGCAAAGTGTTAAGTTAAATAATTATTTACAGAAGAGGCTCAGTCTGTCTGACTTGCTTTCTAGTTGACTTGTGCTAGAAGTTATTAGGACTACCTTAGTAAGTTTCAAAAAGTAAAACGGCAGCTTTCAATTGAGCATAGTGTTAAAAGCGTCTGTGTATGACTATCCCTTCAATCCAACATGAAAAGTTAATTGCAATTATATTGTACCACCAGGTCCACCAGTAAAAAATTAGACATGGAGACTAAGCTGGACCTCCTTCAAACTGCAGTCGTATTGTTTGCTGCAGATCACACATAAAACCACTAAAACTGTCGCAAATCAATTATTTTCAAGAAAATTTCATTCCTTACTGCAAATGATCAAATTATGGTTAAAAACAGGGGCCAGATTTTTTTTTGCTTCTAGGGGCAGGCCCTGAAACCTGATTGGTCCAAAGCGCGCGAAATACTGTGCTGTTAGGCTTAATAAAGTGTGATAGCTCAATTAAAAAACCACCAAATATTTAAGAAACTATTAATTTGCGATAGAAATTAAGTTGATATTCGTGTTCAGCGCATCAGTGTGAGACGGTAGGGAAAGTAAAAGCTTCATTTTCATTTGTCAAAAAGTCTAGTTTGATATTCAAAAGTAACTTTCATCGTGGCAATCAATAGATTCACATGATATATTATATATAATAATAGTAATAGTGCCTTTAGATAGAAAACAAGTTTCTATGTTATTTTCTTTCATTTTGTATCTGATTAACAATGGAAAAGTTAAGTAAAATAAGATATTTAGTACATAGGTGGTCTTTGAACAGTGTACCTCCACTCTATCCTTGTGTAAAATATAAGGATCTCAACTCTGAGTAGAATGGATCATTCGGAATTTGTCTCTGGGGATGTGATGTGATGTTCATTAACTTTTCTTTTTCTTTTGCCTCTATCTTGGCTAAAGTTTTCATGTAATTATTTTGATATTTCTGACAAACCGCATTCTACTGAAATTGAAAGATTAGTAGGAAGTGTTAAGGTGTTGTTGTTTTTTTGTAAAAGGAAATTGAAATCATGACTTGTTTCCGTTGAAACAAGTGTACTTACATTGTATTTTACTTTCCTCTTTTTTTTTTTTCAGTCTTGAAATGAGATAAGTCTTTAACAGAAGTTGCTTGTGCATTTGATTCACGGAGCAATTAAAAAGCCATCATGAGCTCTTTGAGATTCCACCAGATTAAAGCCTTTGCACTGGGCTGGTTAGCCTATGCTTCAACTTACTTCCTGAGAAAACCTTTGGGTGTGGTAAGTTTAATTCCTGTCTTTTTCTTTCTTTTTTTAGAGATATAATCTGATGATGAAGTAAACAATTTAAAAATGAAATTTAAAATTTAAAAAAATAATGCAATGCATACATACATTTGAAATTGATAGAAAGAGCCCATATATGTAGATTTAAAATGTGGCAAAATGTGTGTATGTAAAACATGCTTGCAGAATTTTGATGTTAATAGCAGGAAAAAATTGGTTTATTTACTTTGTGTTTTGTTTTTTATTTTAAGTTTCCTTTTTATAAGACCAGAACATTTTTTATTTAAATACTACTTTGACATTTTTATTATCGATACTTTAAAAAATTAATTAATTTGTAGTACTATTTTTAACAGTTTGTTTAAAAAAAAGAAGTTAATTTTCTTTTGTTCCATATTCCCAGATAAAGGCAGATCTCCAGAGGGATTTAAGTTTCTCCACGTCACAGCTGGGATTTCTGGACACTGCTCTTCTACTACCCTATGCTGTTATGCAGGTAAGCATTTTAAGGAGCTTGATTTTTTCAATAAATTTCAATAAATGGCTTTTTAAAAACTTTTAGTGAAACAAATGTGTACATTCTTGGTGAAAGGTACCAAATGACGCATTTTGAAGAATCCCTTTTTTTTTCATTTTCATGTACGGAGATAATTGTGAAGGGTGCTGACAAAATGAGTTACTTCTCAGATTCGAGCCCTATGGAAATCGCTACATCACACTTATAGGTGAAGTTTTACAATTTATAAGTATGAAATAATAAAAACATGATATTCTTAAAGATTATGGCATCAATAGAAAATCTACAAATTTAACCCAAGTGTCGATTTTTAACCCAATATTTCCATTTGTGGATTGCGAGAAGTAACTCATTTTGTCAGCACGCCTCACAATTTCTGAACAATATGCTTAAAATTTTTAAAATATATCTTCAGTAGTTTTTTAGATATGGGTGATTTTGTAAAGCAGGGTACAGTTCAACAAAGTTTTGAGAAAAACTGCTTTAAAGTTTACCCTTTGTTTCTGCTTCAAATAGATAGATCTACGCTTCGAGGTCACCTGACAACACATTCACTACTCACAAACTAACTTTTAAAAGCAGCTAAGATAAAAGAAGAGCTTACGTCTTTAAAGCAAATTCACCACCACCTTGAGCAAGAATGTTCAAGAAATAGATCTAGGTTTGCGCAGGGCAGAAATAGGCGATACAAGTTTGCTCTCTAAAAAAGCGAAAGGATGTATGAGCAAAGCTTCGCTTTGTTTACATGTTCTAGATATTCATGCGCACTACCCGCTATTAGAGAGGGGAGAGAATGATCTAAATTTTGGTATGCATTGATGCATTGTGATTGGGTCGACTTTATGAATGGACAAAAGAAACCATCTGCAGTATGTACTCGGAAAACCAATTTTGTCACTCTTTTTTGGGATTATGCAATATACCTCATGTTAAAAAACATCTTTATAATGTATTTCAAAGTAAAAGAAAATCAAGTCCCTGTAAATATTGATATATTAATGGCTAAAGCATCCATTTTTAATGGAACTTAGTTTTTGTCAAAAATTCTATTTTTGACCTTTGAAGCCTGGCCTGATATCTCAGTTTGAACAATTGCATCTTTTGGTACCTTTCACCAGGCATGCTCACAAATCTTCTTCCGCTATCCTTTGGTACTGAAGGGGAAATAGTCTGTCTTTGGGTATTCTTCTTAAGTACAGCTTTGGTGATAACATTTGGGATGTCATAATTATTTATTGTAATTTTAAAATATCTTCCTTGTTAAAGACTAAATATTGTTGTAAAAGTGAATACAAAAATAAAACATTTAATTAAGTTTTGGTCTCAAAATTGCGGTCAATTGTATTTAGTTAGGTAAGTGTATCATTTTTGTAAAAAAGCTTGCATGATTGAAATAGGAAGGTACTCTTTTATTTCATTTGGATCATTTTTTATTTCTTTGAACAGATGATTCTAGGACCCCTTGGGGACAAATTTGGGGCACGCAAGACATTTGGATTCTGTTTAGTGCTTTCTGGAATGTCAATGGTAAGTTTTTTAGTGTAAACATAAACTTTTATTTTAGCGTAGAATGGCAGTTGGTCACCAAGTACACATGATGCCAGCTGTGGTTCATTGTTCGTGTAATATTCCTCAATATTTCTACAACAGCACAGTGTAAGTACTCGTTGATTTTGATATGATAATAGACAACCCATTTTCAATTGCACTTTATGGACTATTTTTGATGCAGGAGGAATAATTTTCTTTTATTCAGTTTAGAATAACCAATGCAATTGAACTGACTTTGTTTTGTATGGCCTCTCTTTTTCTCATGTTTATTCCATGCTTGTTTTTGTTTTATAAGACACCCGATTCTGCAAAGGTCACTGAAACTGATTCACAGCTGCTGTTTAATGCTTATCAAATAACTATAAATCTAATTCAAATATGCTTGTATTTTTATGCTTTTAATCTTTAATACTAATTTTTGTTGTTTTGTTTCTGTGCTTTTACAGGTTTTCTTTGGCAACTTCAGTAATTTCTTTGTCTTTTTTGCACTCCTGTTTCTCAATGGAACAGCTCAGGTAAAATCTAATTTTTATATGTCTTATAAAATTTATTCGCTGAATTTTGAATCAGAATTCATCTTGAGGATCTTGATGAGAATTATGATTTATTTTTACTACTCATCATGCAAACATGCTTCATGGTTTTATAAATTATAAATTAAGGAGAGCTAGAAGGACCAGGTCTTTTACACAAAGGTCGAAGTTTTAAAAGCTGTTACGACACTGGGGAGATTTTTTATTCCTCTTTACAAAAGTTATATCCTTGTCACATAATACGTGTGGTTCACAATGAGTGTCTGATTATATGAGCAGTGTTGTTCATCTGTCATCATTATTTTTTTCTTTGCAAGTCATCCTAGTGTTCTGTTCAGATCAGATGACCCAGATAGGATTTAGTTTGCTGGACTATGTCAATTGCTCATGTATCCCTTGAAAGGTCTACTTGTTCATTCCATGTTAACAGTATTTTCTTTCCTTTCTTAAAATAATGTGTCCAAAAATTCTTTTTATTAAAAAAAAACTTTCTTGTTAGTGAACTGGATTTCATGCTTGGGCAGTACAGAACACATGAGAATCTCCTAACATTTCTCTTTTTGTTAACATTTATGCTCTCTGATGGTTGGAGGATGCCACAGTGAAAATGGTCTTTATCACTTTTTTTAGCATATAGTGTTACTATTTGACAGCGCAATATAACGATTGTTTTGTTCATATTTATGGTTCTTTTAACTGACACTCCGATATATTCTGTCCACAGTCACAGTGTTGGCCAAACTGTACCAAGGGTTTACTCTGCTGGTTTTCAGACTCAGTCCGTAACTCTGTGTTTGGCATGTTTGGTACATGTGCCTTTGCAGGGGGAATTATGGGCACCATGATAGCGGTATGTGACTCATTTAAAAGACAATTATTATGAAACTGTGTGTGCCGTTGGTCAGAAGGGTTTCAAAACTATGATGCTGACTTTTAGTAATTCGCCACAAGGCTAAAACATGGTCAAATACAGCCATGTTTTTACAATGTTACATGTTCTCATTAGGAGGAAGTCTGAATGACAGGAGAATTAAGTGAATGCTTTATTTAATTTGATGTGTGTAGTATTTACAGTTAATGAGCGAAAATTTTATCAACTGTTTGATTTCTCGTTGCATGTGATTGATATAGTCTCAGCTGTGCCATTTTCTTGTATGTTGTATGGATCTGTGGAATTAAAGTAAAATGAAAATGTGATGCTTACATCAACCTAAAAAATTACGTTTCTGTGTTGATATTCGATTTTACATCGTGCAAATATTTTTAGTGTACTGAAAGAGCATACTGTATATACTTTCATAGGATGAAGAGGCTATGAAGATAATGATTTCTGAAGCATAACAATATTACTTCTAAGGGTAGCTTTGCAACTTAGATTGTTAAAATAATGAATGCCTCATTTTTACTACTAGCGTATTTTTGATTTTGCTCTTTTTATATGTTTTCTATGTCTCTCTTTGTGTCTCATCCAGGTCTATGTTCAAGCTAATCAAGGGTGGCAGAATGTGTATTTCTGGCCTTCTATTTTTGTGGTGAGGACACTTATATTGTTGTGTACCTGTGGTTTTGTGGAGCGTGATCATTTAATCTGATCTTGATTCTCCGACTATCTTAGACTGTGTTGTGTTAACTCTAGATTCTTTATTTATTGTTTCTTGTAGTCATCTTTCTAATCTTGTCGGTTGATTATGCTTTGGTGGTGTTGATGGTCTAGGGTAGGGGCTAGACGCTAAGACTGTCAACTGTAATTTCGTGGGTTTGAGTCCCACCAGGGGCTCGACGTTGTGTTTTTGGGAAAGGCACTTTACTCAAATTTTACTCACTTGGTAACTGGCCAAAGTTGGGGAAATATCTTGTGAGTTTGTTAATGTTTTAGTGTGTGTAATCTTTTTGCACCGAATGCTTCCTGAGATGCGGATAATGTTTCTGAGTCATGTCCTAGGGTCTGCTAGGGTGATAATAGTTGTAAAGCGTTACATAAATGCAATTATTATTCTTTTGATTATTATTGATTGAAAATGATTTTGTTTACTGAAGGAAAATATATCCTTGTTGTAAATTTGAGCTTTTGTCAGCACACTATAAATTTATGTGTTTGTGTGTTTGTCTGTTGGCATCTTACTCTGCCTGTCCTTTTTAATGTAATTTCACCTTGAACAAAACTTATCATTTATGGAAAAAATAAAATGAGATAAAATAGATCAGATAATACTTTATTGATATAGCGGTTAGATGTGTCGATATTACATGTAGAAGACAGTGAGTTCGATTCCCATGTGAGGAGAATTGTTGTTGAGAGTCTCTGTCTGCTGGGATATTGTATCTCTCTCAATCCAGGTTGACTCTGACGGCAGGGCAGAAGCTGCCCGCCTCCTAAATGATCTAAAATAGGCTTGATGGTGGCATGAAAACCTTCTACAATTACTTTTTTTTGTTACCACGAACAGATGGTGATGGGTGTTTTGGTGTTGATGATGTTCCAGCAACCCGATGAGGTGCAGGCTGAAGTACCAGGAAAAAGTAAGGACGTGTTGGGTTATGAAATACTTTGCTACCTCAGAATTACAAAGTTCTATCTACTCAATAACTAGTTTTGGGAAATCTGACGTCAAGATTTTAAAGTTTCACAATATGTCAAGCTTTTTCGAATGCAATTCTTTGAACACCTTTCTAACGACTCTGAATATTCTTTTGATTTTGATAGAGAAGATAGTGCATTTGCTTTCTGACCTCATGGTCTTTGTAACTCAAATATGTCAGATAGAACTTTGTAATTCTGAGGAAGGAACTTTTTGTGCACTATGTTGTACTTTTCCTTTGACATGCCATAGGTTTAAGAATGTCATAGCTTTGGTTATATTGTGACTCTGGTTTCTTATCCTTGTGCTTTTTACTGTACAGAATTGTTTACTACAGTAAGTTTGTAACCGCCAGTTAATTAAAATCTGTGTGTGGATGGTTGGCGGGTGCTCTGGTGTGATTTGCTCCTTCTTTCCTGTCAAACATCTGTTGTCTTTATCTCTCCTTCTTCTTTTTTGTGTTTTTTACTCAACTAAAACTCACTCCCGGGGTGGTGCTACTGACTGAAATGTCTGTAGGCCATTACCAAAGGGGGGACTTTAACCATGTTCTTATGCACAGTAGAATTCTAATTGCAAATGGACTGATTCATCAATGTCATGCTCATAAAAGTGCTTGAACTGCAACGGGGAACTGCTGCTTTTTCTTTCCTAATCCTTACTATCGCCATTTTTCCTCTACTTCTTTTGTATGTTTGTCACACTCTTGTGACCCGCTATTTCTGGGGCGCCTTGATAGTCAAAGCAGACTTTGTGCCGTTGAAGCTAGAGAGGTGAGCAGAGTGAGCCTGATTCCCTGTAAAGACTTCTCTGTTGATATCCACCCCTTGGCGCTCATATGACCTTATGCAGTTGCGAGCGCCATAATTTAAAACCTCGACTAAAGCAGAAAAAGTAAAATTAAAAACTAAAAATCTGTAATGGTAATGGATGTCGGAGTGGGTCACGTTTTCTTCTTGGTAGATATTGTAAACATTGCGGTATCCGAGAACTTATCTATCAGATGTAGTGCTTGGCTGAAAGTCAAACAAAATCAAATACCGTAGGTTTTCTTCGCCCCTTTCAACAGATGCAGGACCTCTGAATTTTACTACCATCACCGATTGGACCAAGCCAAATGGATAGGCAGCCTTAAAAACTCCCCAAAAGAACTGAAATTGAAGAATGTGCCTTTGAGGATTTGAACCAGGGCCATCAGTTCCATGGTCTAGCCTGATACCTACTGAGCTAACAGAGTGCCTGTTCTTTCCGTCACATACTTTTGTAGTCTTCTTTAAAGTGTGATGCGAGCTAAAATAGTTGACTATTTTTCTGGCATGTTATGTAAGACTTATTCAGTGTTTAATTTTGTTTTATTAGCTGTCAAAAGTGACACCTTCATTTCTTTTATTATATCATTCTTTTTTAAGACTCTGCATCTCCGACGAAAGGGACCGCAGCGGATGACTCTATGGAAAAACCAAGAATGATAGACTTATGGAGATTGCCGTGAGTATTTTCCGAAGAGATTTGCCCCTCTCTCTCTCTCTCTCTCTCACTCTCTCCCTCCCTCCCTCCCTC